GGGAGCCTTGAGGCTCGTTTAATGGACGGTAGATTGCATCAGTCGGACAAGCGTGACTCTCGCGCTCTTTCCTCTCTCTCTCTTTCTGGCTCTTATTCCTCTTTTATTTTATCTCATTAGCGAAACTCGCACCGAGAGCAGCGACGACGCGCCGCGCGTCGATAAGATGAACAGCGCACTGCTCTCTCTCTCTCTCTCTCTTTCTCTTCTCTCGTCTTCTTCGTAAGCGCATGCGAAGGATACCAAAAAGTATGCACTCATGTTCGTATACGATCAATTCGAGATGCGCCGATTCAGCCCCTTTATGAAATGTTGGCCCTCGAAACCTTCGAATACCGCAGGGCATCGGGATTTCCCCGTGATCTCAGGTCCCTTATTTAGCAGCGTGATTCAGCACAGGGTACGCTAAAATTTGGGGATTTACGTGCAAAAAAGGATAAGAAATTCAAATAAGAATACATTATTCCCATAAATTTAACAAATAGAAAATCATCGGAAATCATGAAATTAAATTAACAATTACATCGTAAAATACTACATTCAAGAATCTACTTCATAATTTCAAATGTTACAAACTAAAATCCAAAATATTAATTTTTTTTGATCATTTCTCTATATTATTTATTTTTTACATCATTTTTCTTTTTTAAACTCGATATTGTATTACGTACTACTAAACGTTTCAATTAATTACATTCCTTCATTAATTTAATATCACGCACATTTCAATTAAAGTCAAAGCAAAAAATTTAAATTCACTTTCATGAAAAATAGTACTCTTTTTATGATTATTATGATTCCTTATTTCTTTAATCATAATAAATTAATTGAGCATAAATTAATTGAACGATATTAATTGAACGACTTGATTATTTTACACAGTGACTTTCACGTTGATTCGTTCTTTTCTATCCTTTTCGAAAATTTATCAACCACAAATTGCGGTAGCGATTTACGTACAAGAATTATGAATTAGAAACGGAGTGGAACATTACAATCACGAACACGTGTCGCGCCACGAGAAGGTCATCCGACACCGCCGCGGCGGTGTCGCGACATCTTCACCCGCGACTTTCTCACACCGCGTGCGATTCGCCGGGGCATCACCGCGCAAGGAAATTAATAGTCCGATACAATAGCCATAATTCAAAATACCTCAAGTGTCAACCTGAATTAATAGTCGCTACGCGCAGCTGCGACGAGACCGAGGCCGAATACGACGCGCGAGAGTTGGCGAAAGCCACCCTACAAATCTCTCCTTCTCTCCTTCTCTATTCTCATCGCTCTCCTTCCACGCTTCGGGGGATTAATCCGTTCGGCAAAAGCGCGATGTAGACCACCATATCTCGTGAGTTCGCCGCGCAAAAAACCGGCGGTCTCTCCCGGTTGAAATTAGAACCGATGCGAATAATAATTAAAGAGGGACAGTAACTTATGCATTCGCGACGAACGCGAAAGAAGCGTGGTAGAAATAGTGCCGCGGGAACCTGCGCGCGCGACTCGCGAGAGATCGAGCCTCGATACGATGCAGCGGTTGACCGTGACCTACGCCACGCTCACTTCCATCACTTCTCTCCTCCCCCCCCCCTCTCCCCTTTGTGAGATATCGGTTCTCGCTAGGAATACGCTCACGTTTATTAATCTGGCAGGGCCGCCGATCGAGAATAAGACATATATCCAGGAATTTAACGTCTCCCTGTGTCGATTTGTCGATACAAACCCCCGAGTTCGCCACTTTGTTTCGCTAAAAACAGTAGCGTCAGCTACTAAGTTCAGCAGACAGCAAAAATATACGGAATGAGGAAAGAGATTGGGAGATTTTTCGAGAGCCGGAGTGCCCGGGGCAGTCTTCAAACAAGCCTGATTACAGTTTATCTCAACACGGTAGTCAAATATGATTAAGTCCCGACGCAATTGGTAGCATTTTGCACGCTAATGATCCTGCTCGTTCCCAGAATCTAAGTTATCCCGAGGCCAGTGAGCATGACCGTGCTATGTGCTAAGTGCTTCCCAATTTATTCATGTACGACAGCTACGATCCCGAGGCTAAAGACGTTTTCGGGTAATAATTATTTTTGAATTAATATCGTTTTTCATAACGATCTCTAGAATCATAAAAAGATTTCCAAGCATATTTGAAAATTATTAATTTTAGGATCTACAATGTTTTTCTGTATCTAATTTCTGTACGCGATAGCTTAAGATAAAAAATGAAAAAATCACTAATCTCTAAGCTGCTATTTAAATATATTTTTTCAGACATACCTCTTTACATACCTTTTTAAATTTTCACATTGTAAAAATTTTATTATTTATTCAAATCTAAAAAAATTGTAATATTCAAATTATTGTTTGTATTTCTGACTTTCGCTGTATCATTATTCAGTGTATAAATATAATAACTATAATTGTATGTAAATTATTTCAAATAATACTTAACAAATCGATTCCTCCGGCAACTCGTCATTGCATGTCGTCAATGAATGCAAATTTTTATATAGCGCGAATTCCTGCCGCGAACGTCATGCTAGCTGAAAGCCGATGGGCCGATTCAAGCCACGCAAACCGCAAAACCACAAGATCGAAAAGTTGGAGATATGCTGAATTTCTGTTGCACGCTACAATTCTGATACACGTGACATTCGCAACCGACGTCTAACTTTAATCCCGATTGTATGACTTCGCGACGCACGGTTAACACACGCGCGACAAACTTGTATTTAGTCCAAGGTAGAGCGATCCATAAGCCAAATGAAATTTATGTTGCGAAACAATATAAAGAGATTAGGGACGTTCACCATGGTGACTAAAGGCCGCGTACACGCGAATCTCATTTCCTTTATTGAGTTTAAGATTAAGAAACTTACCCGACTCTGTAATCCGTGCAAGACGGTGGGGGGTTCCAAACGGTGCTGTGACAGAGCATCCAGTCGCACCAGATCTGCAGAGAAACGTGAGAGAATAATGAAGTTTACATTCCAAATCGACATGAGTACGTAAAGCTAATACGAGCTGAAACATCAATGCCGACAGATTGACAAAGCTTCCAATTAAATTTTTAACTTGTTGAAACATTTTGATGATTATAGCCTATTTTAAAATGGGAAAAAAAGTGGGAAATAATAAAAATATAATATATTACAAGAAAATATAAAAATATTCTTAAAAAATTATTTCTTGATAAGAAACATCAAAAAAATTCCAAAATTTAAAAAAAATTGTCACAAGAGTATAAGAGACGTTATTTAAAAATGTTTGAATAGCATTTATAGCAATTATATAAAAAAAAAGTTAAAGTTTTAAGCATCTTGAGTCACATTCCTGACATTCCTGAATTAATTTCTCTTTCTAATATAAAAGTATCTTATTAAGAAAGAGGAAAATATATTTTCTGAGATTTTTATTTACAAGTTTTCATCAAGTTTTTCATTCAGGTTCTTTTTTTCAAAGTCGGAGAGCAAAAGTACTTTGCTATTTATAGACATTCCCGCGGGATGTTTTTTTCATCGAGTACGTCCATCCATCCTCATAAAGTGAAACATATTCCAGCGGCCTTGTATCGCGTCTACTTTATCGGCAATATTAATGGTCTCACCGCAGTCGTAAGAGAGCGCGAGTCTGGCTATTATTCCTTGTATCAGCTCGCATTCCGATAGTAATCATTGTTTTCTTTTTTTCCTTTATGTTTTTTTCTTGTTAGTCGAGAAATACATAGCGATTATGCAAACGTATTAATTTCATACATACATGTAATATATTAACAAAATATTTATTTAACAAAGATTTAATATCGCAAAATTGATAATTAATCAGCGACAATCAATCATTTTCAATAATTCGAAAATTGTATAACGCATTAGCGTAACATTAACATTTATTTAAATTTTTCATTTTAAACAATACTCTTAATCGCTTTTTTTAATGTTGCTCTAAGTCGCGCAATTCATATCAATGCTTTGTACGACTTAATATCAAATTAAGAAATCAGTAACTTCAAAATACCGATGTCTGATTGCAGTACGATCATTAGTCGATAAAACATGCGCGTACATAACGATGTACGATAGGTAAATTAATTGCAAGAGCGTTGAGTTGCATAATAAGTTGCGATGCGATCGAATCGGATTCTGTATCTGACATATCGGCCACCGGCGAATCTCACGTGGGTGTGAAACTCTCATGGCGCTCCATAAATTCTCCGCTGATTAGACATGTTCGAGAGCGAGAGACAACGTCAGGAAGTAGAATCGGATCGAGCTGAGGAAGAAAAAAGCGATGCCTTCCAGATTGATGCAACTGCCAGGACCAATGATAACCAATCAGCAAACCGTCATAAATTATCCCTCGGAAATGAAAGCGAATAAAACAGATATAACGGTGAACGAGATTTTTTTTAAAGCGCTTTTTTTTTAACGAATACGCGCGTATTTATATTGATCCTCAAGATGTGAAAATATTGTGATATGACTGGCAAAAAGTTGAGAGGTTGGCCGCCACTGCTCCAGATCTAATTATTCTATAATGGCAAGCCACGGACGATGGACGTGATCGAGGCAACGTTTCGACTCGGAAATTGACTTACGCTCGCCGACTCGCGTCGCGAAACGCAATTAAGACTTCGCTCAACTGATACGTATTGATGGGGGAAAGAGGGAGAGAAAGTACCTTAATAGCCGGTAGAAGCACTTGCAGATCCTCGCCGACCACCAGCCTCGGTTCTTGCTCGCTATCTAACTGAGCTTTCAACAGGGATACACCACGCTCCAAGATCAAGCTGAACATTTGCAGCGATACGACGAGAGCTCGTTCTTGGACCTCTGATCTATAGCCCTGTTCCATCTGAGAATCTGCAATCAACGGTTAAGGAAAATATAAAATAAGTTTGTATCCACTCATTTATCATACGTAGGTTCTAAATTAAATTCAGCAAAAGAAAAAGTATAATGTTATAAAAAAAATAAAAATAAAAACACCTTTCTAAAAAGATATAAGAGAACCTATTAATAACATGTCGTTTTATTTTATAGAAAGATAAAATTAACATTTTTACAGCTAGATATAATTATGTAGTTAAGTTTACGTAATTAAGATGTCTTTGTAGCTATAAAATAATACAATTTCTTTATATTAATATTAATTATTACAGTTTGCCGCTATCTTTTATGTATCTCCTATAAAAAAAATTCATTTCTCAGAAGTCACCAATTTTACAACCGTTATATCCAAGTGAGAAATTTCCTCGAAAGAAAGTTTATTTCTCACAGAATGCCATCGGGATCCGTCGGGATCGTCGTCGAGGAACATCATTTGATTGATTACGAATGACTCGCGGTGGAAGGAAGGGAAAGAATGCGCGAGGGTGCATCTACTACGCGCGGCAATATCCGGACGGCAAATTGGTGCTGATTGTTACATCGGAGGGGGGAAAACGCGTAAGTTAATGCCGGTAGCGATCACGTTTCGGTGATGATGATGATGGCTGATCGGTGCGCAATCTATTCGGCGTCGCGACCGGATTCGCCATCGGCAGCCGCGCGTTTTCTCTCTTCGGGGCTGTCATTACGCGTTGTATCGAAGCTACGTGACGGGACGAGGCTCCTGGCGGATTCGAAGGAGCGAAGGTCACGGCACGACCTTCTGCTGCACTACCTCCATTTCCAGACACTTCAGTTTCCTGAAGTGATTTCCTCGGAGGGAATTCACCGGTGGCTATATAATGAATCGATCCCCTGGCGAAGAGAAACGACGGGAAACAATTCTGTCGAAGATCAGGCGATATCATCTATGAGAAAGAGGTTTAATTTGTAGTAACAAAAATGTCTCAAATATCATCCCCTGTAATTCTGGACCTTGAGGGAGAGTAAACTTTAACTATTTCGTCTGCCCAATTATCCTCGAACCGTAAAATTGCCATTTTGTTGTAAATATTAATTTAATTTACTAAAGGCACAAATTTGAAAATTTTGCTTCGGAAAAAATTATAAAATCTAATATTAAAAAAACAATGTCTCTAAAACTGTCGTACTTTAAATTTCGGAATGTTGAATTAGAAGATAAAATAAGAGCACATTAAATTAAATATAATAAAAGAATTTGATAAAATCAAATAAATTATGGAAAATAAAAAAATATATGGAAAATGCTACGTCGTTGTGAAACAATTTTTTATTATCTCATGTATTTAATTTTGATAATCTAATTTTCATAATCGATATATGTTATTTTTTCAGCGTGATACTTTGTATGTTTTCTTTTATTTTAGACATCGCGAAATATTCGGATCTTACTACTTCGCGAATACTAACATTCGCGCGAATATCATATGTCTTCGCCGAACAACCCGTCTTGTGCATCTTTGTGTATCTTTATTAGCAAGTTATAGTGAAGCTAATTAGATGAGCGTTGCTAACGCGCGATGGTATAATGGATTCCGTACAAGAAGAATGCCACTTATCGGAACTAGTGATGTTTATCATGGAAAACAAGTAAGAACAACAAGGTAGATACAAATTTTCTCTACAATAAGTATTTATTTATATATAAAACAGGCAAAACTATTAGTCAAATATAAGAATCTCCTTATATATAATATATAAAAACAAGCATTTTTATATAATATATAAAAATAAGCAAAATAATATAATATATAAAATAAAAAATAAACAATGCATTACATAAATATATTAGATAAATAAATTAAAATTTATAAATATAATATGTGAATTATGTAGTAAAAATTTACAACAATTTTATGCGTATACCAAAACTCTAAAAAAGGAAAAATAGTCATAGGAAAATTTTACAACAGGAGATAGACTTCACATGCATTAGTCGTCTCTATTTTTCGTTTGCCATAAAAGTTGGCGATAAGTCCAAAGACGTCCGAACATTCTGCTCACGCGCGATAGTAAGGGCGTGATTTCGCGTTGTGTGTGTCTATGTGTATGCACGTGTATATGTGTGACGCGAATTAACTCTGCAGAATAGAAGGCTAACACAAATCTAACAAGCGGGAGAGCACTGTACCACGTCTGTGCCATCCTCCATCAAGCGTCGTACATACGCACAACAGCCATATTCGAAAAAAAAAAAGATGGACTCTGGCAGTTTAATTTATCGCGGACAGGGATAATAATTACCGTTTAACCGTGAGGTCGCCCCGAGAAAACCCGTGTGGTCCTCTCCTCATCGGGGATTGGGAGGGGTGTAAAGGATAATTAGTTAGAGAAGATTTACAGGGAGAGGCTTTAACTAATTGCCACCGCGATCATTAGCGAAACTCAGGCGGTATCGTCTCGCGTCGACCTGTACGATTTCCTCGTCTTTCGCGCGAAAAAAAAACCGATCTAGCTGCGATCGTTAATTCGCGAATAGATTGCGAATTATTTCAGCGTGGTGGTGAAAATTGTAGCAACCATCGATGCAACGTTGTGGAAATAGTAGTAAGTGACGGTGGCAAATTTCACTTTAAAATATCACAAATTAAACAGCGTAACACTCGTATGAACGTATCGCAAATGAACTTGGGCAACGAATACGAACGTTTCCTCCTACCGATATCCTTAACTAACGAAATAAACATGACAACGAGATCCCGCGAGAAGCACTTTTAATGAACCTAGTAAGTAAGCTCGGTCTTCCTGTTTTGCCTCGGAGCGATATTAACGTCGCGAAAATGGACGGAATCGAGTTAGCGCGAGCTGCGCACAGATAATTTGATTATTAATGATTCTAGCGGACACTACATCTCTCCGCTGGATTCGCGATGCATCACCGGAATATTCCGTTTTCACGAGATATTCTCTAATTTGAAATAAAATGGAAACCTCGTTAAAAGTTATATTTGTTCAGCAAAATTAATCCACCGTGTAATTCAAGATGAACAGAACTCTGAAGAAAGAAATGTTATTCCTTTCCTTTTTTTCCTTCACTTCAAAAGATCTGAATTCTTTTTATACGTTTACGTAATACTATGTTCAGCAGGGAGATAAAAAAAGGTGCCTCGAACGTAATATTGCGTAATTTATATTTAAACGTTTCCTTTCCCAATTACGTATTTCCAATTTCCTTTCGTGGAAGAGGACTTGTTACGTTTTTAGCATCCGTTTTTACATATCTCTTCGGGCACTCGAAAACGATCGTTTTTTTCCCTCGTCAATGTTTTGATAGTTTGGCTCTTTAAGTGGTTAACGGTAAGGATGGTAATAACTGATCGCTTGACGGCAGTATCGACGATACCGTTGTCTTTGAAGCGCTTTTTTCGGACCCGGCAAATCCGTGGTACTCGTATGGAGAACGCCACTCGTTAATTCGGTTACCGCCCCATTCCCTCTAATAACGACTAGGGGAATGTGAGAGAGCTATTGTTTAAGGATAATCACGTCTTAATGGCCGACGAGAGAGTATAATGTATCATTAAATATAGCCGTAATGCGGAGGGCAGCGGAGTGCGCGCAAAGTGTAGGATGATTTTAATGGCCGCAAATATCGCGGCCGAGTGTTTTACGTATTATTTAAGCAGCATGGCGCACACACGCACATCGGTGCGGACATGTGGAACAGCGCTCGTTTTGCAGTTTAACGTTTCAATCCTCGCTACTACACTTTACCCGCATTTATCGTGCGTTGTATCCATCAAGTCGGTTATTATAAAGATATCACGCGACTCCACAACCCTTGTCTCAATCCGAAAGTAAAGAATATAATTAAAGAATATTAAAGGATGACGATTACTTGATAAAAATATCAATATTGTTAATCAATTTAGTGGAATTGGCGTCAGTGCTCTGTCAAAACGATTAATTTAATCTAATGTGATATTTTAACGATATACAAAACGTTTCGAAAAATGAAGAACTACTTTTAAAATTGTTTGTTGCAAAATATTTAATCTTGATTTGTTTTATAAGTACTATATTACTTCTTGATAGAGTTTAAAGGTGACATTAATTTATAATTTATTTATGGAAGTTATCCACTAAATATATTCTTTACTTTGAATGCCTGCAAGCAAAAATTCTCTCTGTCTCATCCAAAGAATAAAATTACACACATTACACTACATATTTCATATATTTAACTAGAATTTAATCAGAGTCGCTTTTTCTTTATTAAAAAATACCACGTCACGTCGCCACGATTGAGTAATAAATCACTCCGTGATCCGCTTTTTCTCAAACGTGAAATCACGCGAGATAGAATTAATGCGTCGCAAGATCAAAGCGTTGGAAACGATTTTTCTCGCTATTCGGGTGTATTCCTCCTCTACACCCGCGAACGCCTCAAGATTTGAACAGGCCGTCGCGACGTGTTTCAAACATATGTAAAAGATATAACATTGCGCAATGAATTTAGCACCGGCGACCCCGTGGTAATGCCTTTCGAACGACGTACGCGGACCGCCCGGAGGTAAAGACGATGAGGTACGAGTGCGCCCGTAAATAATCGGGCATAGGTGAATTCTCGCCGTCGACCTTCGCGCGTGCGCGCGCGCGCGCGCGCGCGCGCCGTTTACATCGCGCTAATCACGCCAGTAGATTAATGGGTTCTCCTCATTAGGCCGGCCCGGCCGTAATCGTCATTTTATTAGTCATTTTATCGATGCACTCGCGCGCACGCATTTTCCGCCGGTAATATCCCGCTCGTGTCACATTACCATACTATTAACATAGTGCATACCTCGCGGCAACGGTTCAACGACTTTAGCCCTCTCCACCGCTCGCGGCTGCATTACTGTGTGCATTAACTTTTAACTTAATTTCCGCCAACCCAAACGCGCCTCTTCCGATCGAGATTCTCTCGCGCGAGTACTTACGGCCGTTCATCTCTCTTTTTCTTTTCCCTCTAC